CATCAGTTCTTCCATGTAATGCTAAAGCCACGCCCAGCCCAACCACGTCAGACCGTGCTGATGCAGCAGTGGCTTCTGACTTAAAATCACTCTTCTCCACAAAAGGAAACAACAACTACATTAATCAGGATACATGATTGTCTTCACAGCAAAGGGCCCCACTCCCATTGCAACCCCCACCCACGCATGCTTTTCCCATCTCTTCTGACCTGCCCCTGGCTCCGGAGCTCATTTCTAAGCAGGAGCCTTCTTTACTTTGTGGTTCTGCTGCAGCACTGGAATGTTCAGCTTGGCATTTATGAACACCACTCTGAAAAAGCGGGAGCCTTTCAGCCATCTGTCCCTGGATGATAATTGGGCCGTCTTCGCTGCAAGTTCACATGGGATTCTTGCACATCCGTGTCCAACCAGGGGAGGAAAGAATGCCCAGAAACCCCTTAGGGAAGACGGGCCATTTCCAAGCCAACACAATCATTTGTCCACTCATTTATTCATTTTCATGGCACACTTGCATGGAATGCTCTTGATACAAAGTGTGGGAACCCTGGCTGAGCTGTTGACCTCACACTTCACCAGCCAGGAGAAAAGTACTGCCTCGGGGACTCATGTTTGGAAAAGCCTAAAGAGGTAATCCACAGGATCTTCACATGCTTCCAACTAACACAGCGGGAGAGGTCACCATGAAAGCAGATCCAGGTGTCTTAGCGCTTCCCTGCTGCTTCTCAAACCCGAGCTGATGAAGATTTTCTGACAAGGAATGGGAGGACTTGTTTTGTCTTGCACATCTTAACCTCAGATTCAGTTTCTGGGGTGTTGTCTTGTTTTATGTAGGGCAATGCTGTCTTCTGGCCCTGTGATCCAGGTCCCAATCCCTTGCTGAGTGAGGTTCCGTGAGCACACTCACCCTGTGGCATTAACAAGTTGGACAAGACATTTGCTTTCTGCATCGTTTGACATTGACGATTCCTGAGGATTCAGGGATGTTTTGTGGGCAAAGCCAGGCATTTCCTGACTTAATGGTGTAACCAGAGGCAGGAGAGAAAGATAAAAAATAGATTAGCTGAAGACCACGAGGCCGCTGTGTGGGTAAAGGGAAGTCATTGTCTCCTTGTTAGCCTTGTCTTTCCGAGTCACGGCCCTCAGCGATCAGTGAACCGATTTTTTAATTTATCCCAATTAGTGACCTGAGAAGACATGATTTTACCTGAGCCAGCCACAGTTAACAACGCAACAGAAATTAGGTTCCCCCTTCGGATGCTTTTCTTCTTGAAAATGTTCACCCACAGAAATGTAAAGTTTTTGCAGGTAAGATAATGTTTGTGTCTACATGCCTGGACTGCTTTCCCTCCTGAGAGTCATGAAAACGCCCTTTCTTACTCCATCTGAAGTGTTTGCCTTCAAGTTAGAGGCTGGTTCACTAAGCAATTCCTCCGTCTCCCTCACTCAGTATGTTGAAGTATGCTGTTCTTTTGGACTCTGAAACTTGATGAGCAAAATGATTGCTCCATTAACAACAACCTCAGGTGGGGGTCCAACTGCAGATGCCTATGCAGCTGAGGCACGTGAGCATCTGGGCCCTCAGCGTCTGATTTTTAGATATGAAAGGAAGTGTGTTCTGTCACATTTTGGCTACCATTGTCATCATATGGGAAATCACAGAGTTAGAAACTTTTCTCAGTTCTGTTAGCTGTATCTTCCCCACTTTATAACTCAATGGCAGCACAACACTAACATATGAGAGTCCAAAGTAGATTTCATCCTTAAAACATGAAGGAGATAGAAAGAAAGAGAGGGAAAGAGAGAGGTGAGAAAGAGTGAGAGAGAGAGAGAGAGAGAGAAGAGAGCACTCATACACAACTAGCTGTGTAGCTCATATTTCTCTAAACAGCTGACCTGATTGGTGGGCTGAATTGTGCCCCCAAAAGAAGAGACAAAGCTTCAGCCCCCAGTTTCTCCAAATGTGGCCTTATTTGGAAATAGAATCGTTGCATATGGAATTAGTTAAGATGAGGTCACGCTGAAGTAAGGTGACCCCCTAATCCATATAAGTGATGTCCTCCTAGGAAGATAGCCAGGTGAAGAGACAGACACACATGAATGACACGTGATGTTAAAGGCAGGGATTGGAGTCACATGATGGCAAGCTAAGAAGGCCAAAGATTGCCGGCAAACCAACTGAAGTGAGACCAAGGCAAGGAAGGATTCCCTGCGGGTTCCAGAAGGACCTGGCCCTGAGAACATCCTGCTCTCGGACTTCTAACCTCCAGAACTGTGAGATGATACATTTCTGTTATTTTAAGTCACCTCATTTGTGCTACCTAATTATAGCAACTCTAGGAAACTAATCCAGAGATCAACACAATTGACTACTCTGCTGGAAAGATGTCCTGGGATTTTACTGTACCTCTTCCTGTCTCCCACCATACTACCTGCCCCTCCTTCTCCCGACCTCTCCCACAGACACACAAAGAGCGAGGTGATCTAGGAGCAGATCTAGGGTGGAGACGTCAGTCACTGAAACTAGAGGGATCCTAACAGCATCCATCCACAAGTGGCCTGCACAAGAGAGAAGGCCTTCAGCAGGAGTTGGCCGTTCTCTTTCACTAACTGAATGCAAGAAGTCTTGAGAAGTCCAAGTGAAATCCAGAAAAACCAAATGGAGTCCCTAGTAGTTGTCAGAGAGCTTCAGAAGAGAAAATTCAGCCGGGTATTGGTGTACCATTTGGCTCTGTGGGCTGCTGGTGCCTTGTGATTCCTGAGATCCATCTAGGTCTGCACTTTCAAATCTATTCCCCAGTCCTACAGGGACAGGCTCTGCTGGTCTTTCTTCCTCCAAGCTCTCCCTCCACCCATCGCTATTCCTACAGAACACTCAAGATCTGGGAGATGGGTAGAACAGGGTATTTCTACCCCATAAACCAAGATTCAAATGCATTAATGTGAGGATTCCCCAGACAGGATTTCTTCCAATGGGCTGCTTGTGTGAATTTTTGGTATGGTTAACTGAAAACCCAGCCAGGTCCTGAATTGTCTAACCGGGTCCTACCTATATCGCTTTGTCAGTGAGAGGGCCCTCAGCTGGCTCTCTGTGTTTGAGGCATCTGGTCCTATAGCCAGAAATGCAAAGGGAACTTGTGTTCTGATTTGTTGTGCTGATGAAACTATCATAAATTCTGACCTGATATTTACTCTTAGTTTAGGAATTACAGGGACGGTGGGTGGAAGAAGTAGATGTCATAGATGCTTTCTCTGGCCCCCTGGAATTGTAAAGAATGTGATATTCACAAAGCAACATGAAAATTTAAAACTCAGCCTATACCAGCTTCTTAGGATGTTAGCTGTGTGGTACTATTTTTATTAACTATTCAATATAGCATCAGCATGGTCAACATAGGGTAAAAAGAGTTTAAAATTCATGAAAATCAGAGCCAGAATTGGTTTTAAACAACTTCACTTGTCAGTTACTTCAGCTGTGCTGTTGGACACCTCAGTCACAAGCTCAGAAAAAAGCAACTTCATTTTATAAAATTAATGCCAGTGAAACAGGAACGCGGCACTGCTCCCCTGGCTTCATTTTCAGAGAGAAATGGTGACCTCTTTAAGTTTCATGAGCTCAGATTCTTCCAGCTGCCGTGGGCTTGATGGGGAGGAAAGAGCTCTTGATGCCAGCACAACCTTATTGGAGAGTTCTCTGTGGCTCTAAGCCCATAAGCCACTGGGACCAGGCAATTGTGTTGCCTCATTCTTGCAGGAATCCACCTTTTCATTGCACTTGAGTCTTTCATTCTGTTAATAATATTCTCCAGTCTGTGTTTCCTTATCCTTTTCTCCAGTTTCTTAGCCCTGCCCCACTCCCCTTCCTTATCATTCCATAATAATGCTAAAAATCACAGGTACCATTTGGAAAGAGTTTCCTATCTGTCAGGTTCTGTGTCAGGTATATAGATATTTAATATTGTGGCTAAAATAGCCTGCAGTGTAGTGGTTGGTTGGTACCCACTTGACTGATGAAGAAAGTGAGGTTTGAAGGGGTTTATGCCACGTCCCATAGCTCAGGATTCAAACCCAGGCTCTTTTGCTTGAAAGGCCACCTGGCTGCTTTTTAGTATTATACCAGAGCCTCTTGATACCTCATTTGTCCTTGAACCCACAGAGAAACTGGAAAAATCAAAAAGAAAGGACAGCACACAAGCAGAAAGTGATGACCTGCTGTTTGTAGTTCATCAGATACCGTCTATGCTGCTTATTTGACATGGTGTCCATGCATAATCCAATTTATCTTTCAGGTCCTAGTTACAGTCCTATGTGGGAAAAGTTCACGTGTCAGCATCTGTAGGATGTGTGGGTGCTCACTGCATGGAATGTGGTATCGAGGCCTGGGGGAGCCCACCCCATGCAGTGACGTCTTGGCAGGGATAAATGACTGATGTCATTTATCATAAACTTGAACCTGAGGTCACTCAGGCAGTGTACCCAGCATTTTCATCTTTGCTGTACCTTTGCGATACAAAATCCTATGAAAGAGTGAATAAGATTGGATGACTACTTGAAAGTTATATGAAACTATAATTCAGAGGTGAGAGTAGCTTGCAGAAATTAAGTTCCCTGCTTCATGTTTATGCCTGTGTGACTATTCATTTCAAGCATACTGTCTCTTTATGAGAGTAATCATGAAAACATCGAAGAAACTATATACCCAGTTACCCATATTGATCCCAGAACTATGAATAAAATGTTAATGTTCCTTTACTTTTTCTTTTAATATTTGGTATAGCTTGATATAAAGTACGAAGTCTCTATTATTATACTGTGCTCTAAAAATAGGGATTTTTATTTTGTTTTCATGCAAGCTGGGTTTGGAAGGAGATTTGAAACCTGTATGGCTGGTGTATGATGTAGGCAGGCACTAGAGAATCTGACATGTGTTCATACTCAGATTCTAAGTCCTGTGTGCCTGTTGTTGTGTTGCATTGTTATCTGTCTGTCTGTTTTTTTAATAGACCAGGAATTTGGAAAGACCTAAAGACCATGGGCTCTGTGTCTCTCTCTATATTCTTCATCACACTGCTTGTTCTGGGTAGACAGGTAAGAAGTCTGTTTATATATATATATATATATATATATATATATATATATATATATGTATACCTTTTCTAAAGTGCTGTATTAATAATGCTTTGCTGTGGATTTTAGTTAACTATCTTGGAAACAAATGCCTAAGAATCAGAATTCCTTTGCTGTCATTTGCAATCATTCCTCGAAATATGATCCCCTGCTGAAAAGTTTTATTTTTGCAATGCGACTAAAACTGTTCTTCCTTCTTTGTTCCCGCCAACCCTCTGGTCTCCTAGTAGAGGCTGTGGGTGTCAGATTTTTAAGGACAATTATTCTTCTTCTGCCTTCAACAAAGATAATTGCCCAAAGACTACAAGACTTATCTGAAGCCAGGCACCTCTGCCTCTTTTCAAGGCTGTTTTAAGTTCTATGAAGGGTGATAGGAAACAAACAAAAAGCAGTGATTTATGTATTTGGAAAGAACTCATGAAGAAGCAATGCCAATTAAATTAAATCTGTCCAATACCTAAGAGGTACACAGTATACTTATGAGTTTGGGTCTGGCTTCCAAGGCTTCCAGCTCTCCCCACCAGAAAGCTGTTAGTAATTGCATAGTCAGTTGGACGGAGTCTGGATCTGGCTCTCAAGCCAGCAGTCCAGGACAACTGTCCTCCTCTAGCTTCCCAAGCAATGTGAGCTGCATCCTCCCTAGGAGTTCACGGTGCGGCCCTCATCCATCTCCCTAGCACGGAGTTGTCCTGTCCTGCTGCAAAGCTGTTTGAGGTCTTTTCTTCCCACCCCACCACCCCTCTTACATTTTCTCTGTTCTGCATTCTTTGACTTGCAGTTTTGACAACCTGCACTATGTCCCGTTCTTTTTCCCTGGTTTCTCCTGCAACCTGGTTTTCTTTTCTCACGATTGGCCAACTTTCTGCTCTCACTCCTATTGGCGGGCATGCTCTCCCTTGAGGACCCTAGATGTGAGAGAATTGCGCTTCCTGGCATCATATCACCTAGATGATCATTTCTCAGGAAAGATTGCAGCCATTCCCTCCGTGGGATCACCTGTTTCTCCATTTCATACTGGGGTTGATTTCTCCTGCTAGATTCATCACTCAGATTCCTTCACGGCAGCAAATTTTAAGAACCTAGTATCAAATTAAATTATCCCAACTTTGTTACTGGTCCTTGAGATGATACTCAGTCAATACCACTACATAATTATGGTTGAGTCCAATGGCTGACAGTTGATCCATTACCATCTCATTGATTTAAGGTAAATAACCAAAAGTATTCAATACTGTGATTGAGCACTAATTTTACACAATTGGGTTGATAACAGTCTCATAGGGAGTCATTCCATTTTTGTCTTTAATGTAGCAAAAAGTAATATTTACATCTAGAGACCTAGAAAAATTGTTACTCCCTCTAAAGAGTTTATCATTCCTCATAACGATCCTTTAACACCAGCTATAAATCACCGAATCTACATAAAGCACCATGGGAAATACCAAGGTGAGCCAGGAGTCTGACCTGCAGTCCAGAATCATTGAATGGATGATTACTGAGGCCCCAAGCCTTCTGGGGTGAGAACTTTGAAGTCTGTGACACAGTGCTTTAGTATTCCCTTCCCCAAAGGGAGGGGAGGTATATCACAAAACACCCCATATTTGAAATAAGACTTTTCAAGTGCCACAAGTAAAGCATTCATGGCCTCAGAGTTATTGTATTTTTTGATTGGTTTATTAAATGATAGTATATGCACTTTGCAACCTATTTTCATTGTTGTTTGTGCTGCTCGATGACCATCTTTTTTGAAATGATGGAAATATGTTTGCTTTCTGAGAAAATCAGTATATTAAATATTGCTTTGGGTATCGAAGTAGCCTTGATGAAAACATAACATGTCCCTTATACAAAAAATACAGTGCGACTTGCTGTACTAAAGTCTAGTTTATGATAGATGTATTAGCCAACTCAGGGGTCCCTTGAAAAAGAAAGAAGCCCAGTGTCTCACCAGAGCTTAAACAGCAGCACATTCCATGCAGGGTCTGCATTTGAGGTGGGATACATTTATACCATCAAACCAGGGGACAGTCTGCATGACCTCAAATGAAGCTGTTGTTTTACAGGAGAGCTTAAACCTAAGAATCTGCAGGGCCACAAACTGCCCTGTACTCTAGCCCAGTGAGCCACAGCAGGGAGGGTCATGGGGTCCCAGGCAGGTCCTGGAAGATTCGCCAGGGCTCTTCCTGCTCTCTCTCTCCTTGTTGACAGATCCAAGGAAAAAAATCATTCAGTGATTTATAACTGGTGTTAAAGGATGGTTATGAAGAATGATAAATCCTTTAAAGGGAGTAATGATTTTTCCAGGCCTCTAGATCTAAATGTTACGTTTTGCTACATTAAAGACAAAAATGGAATGACTCCCTTATAAGACTGATATCAACCCAATTGTGTAAAAATAGTGCTTGATCAAAATATTGAATGCTTTCTATTATTTATCTTAAATCAATTAGAGTGTAATGGATCAACTGTCAGCCATTGGACTTAACCATAATTATGTGGTGGCATTGACTGTGTATCATCTCAATGACCAATAACAAAGTTGGGAGAATTTAATTTGATACTAGGTTCTTCTGCCCATGTAGAAAGATGTAAAGCCCTCTAGTTCCTCGTGTTGTTTTCAGAACCAGAAACAGCTCAGAACTGCCCTTGAGGCTGCGCTAGATATGAGCCACAGGAGGGAGGGTCATGGGGTCTTTAAACCTTAAAAAAATCCTGGAGGATGTCCTGGAGGATTTTCTTAGACTCTTTCTGCTCTCGATCTCTCATTGTTGACAGAGCCAATAAAAAGCAAATTCTATGTCTCCTCATGGAATCTGGGCTCCTGAAAACCTATAGAGTAGCCCCAGGCAGAGTCTGGGATGTGGGTGGCAGTCCGAGGAATGGGAGGCTCTCCAAGCAGGTTCAAAGCTGAGGAAGCCTGCTGGTCCCTCCCTGCTCCTCTCCTGCAGACAGAATTCTCTGCTCTCCTCTGCAGCACTGCCCTCTCCAAGTCACCCAGGCAGGGGCTTCATCCTGGCCTCTGCTGAACATCTGCACATGGCCTCCCCCTGTGTCTCTGAGTCAAATCCCCCCCTCCTTTCTCTGGTAAGGACATGCTTTTTGGGTTTAGGACCCACCCTAAATCCAGGACGATATTATCCTGAGATCTTTAACTGGATCACATCCACAAAGATGTTATTTCCAAATCAGGTCACATTCACAAATACCAAGGGCTAGGACTTGGAACTATCTTTTGGAGGATTACTATTCAATCCATTACGTTTGATTGGGAATTTTTTTTAAGTCTTTTCTGAGGCACCCTTCATGTGAGTTGTAATGGGCCAGCTACGTAAGGCAGAGGATTCTAAACAGATTGCATTGCTTGGGAAGGTGATAGATGAGTGATAGATGGATAGAAACGTAGGTAGTAGGTAGGGAGATTGATTAATTGATTTGGCAAAGTGTCATTTCAGTTCAGTACAGCTAGTTCCAAAAGACTGTGATTTTTTTTTTAGTAGGAGACTTACAAAATGCTTACCTGTTATGCAACAACAATGGCTATGAAAACCTGAGCAACATCCTAGCATGGCATATGAAAAACTTTCCCGCTCCCTTGGGTCAGACTTGCTGCCTTAACTGCTGCCTTGGTGGTGGTTTCATCTCATGCTTCACGTTTGTCTAATCTTGAGTGTGCACCTGTGGGGGCATTGAGTGGGGGCACTGAGAAGCCAGTGGTGGGGGCATTGAGAAGCTGCTGGTGGGGGCATTGAGAAGCTAGATGGTTGATAGATGGTTACATCTATCATTTCAGTTTAAAGCCAGACACACCATTGATTTATTTTTTTTTAATCCATTCTTCAAGTGAGAAGGCTTTTCTAGTCAATGTACAGCTTAATTTCTATCAATCCATGGTTTTGAAAATGTGGCATGAACATGAAACTTTAAATACAAACTTTTATTTTGGGGATTTTGTTCTTTGAGATAGAGTCTTATTCTGTTGCCCAGGCTGGAGTGCACTGGCTCAATCTCGGCTAATTGCAACCTTTACTTCCTGGGTTCATGTGATTCTCCTGCCTCAGCCTCCTGAGTAGCTAGGACTACAGGTGTGCACCACCAGGCCTCACTAATTTTTGCATTTTTAGTAGACATGGGATTTTGCCATGTTGGCCAGTCTAGTCTAGAACTCCTGACCTTAAGTGATCCTCCCACCTTGGCCTCCCAAAGTGTTGGGATTACAGGCATGAGCCACCCTGCCTGGCCAAATATAAACAGACTTTTAAAATATCTTTTTTGCAGTTTTTTGAAAATGGCTCACTACATGAGATAAACATAAATGCCACACCACAGGAGGAGGAGGAGGAGGAACTTTTCCCTAATGTATGGCAGATAATTTGAATCAAACATAACTAATGAATGATTATTGTTCTTTCAAATTACAAAATGTGGATTTTAACTTTCTTAAAAAACTTCCCATTTGTGCCTGAGAGGCCACTGGTGTGCACGTGTGTGTGTTTTGTTTTACTTTGTACTGTCATTGGTAGAACTCAACAAAACAAACTAAAAACTTGCAGTTAGATCTTCTTCACAGTTATTCGGCAGCAAGTGACTATCTGCGGAAATACACACTCTCCACTAAGCCCTTCTATTACAGAAGGATCCACTCGAGACTCTTTCATTATATTAAATTATTTACGTCATAGGAGGCACAAAATGATGCCAAGGCCCAAAAGACTCTTTGTCAGTAATTGGGCCTCTCTATTCCTACAATGTTAATAATAACTCGTTTTAAAATACATTATATTTTAATACACTATAAAGCGTGAAAACATGTTTGTACTAGTAGGCATTATCTTAGTTAAATGATATCAAAATGAACTTTTCTCTAAATGTAATGAATGGCATTCTGTCAGAACAGCACAACCCCAGGTAGAAAAACAAAGTCCATATTTTGCAATAGTTACATAATGATATAATTTGTGTTAGGGAAAAACTAATTTACAAATGCTAAAGGCAAACTGCCATAAACGAACACTACCGTTTTTATGCAAATCATCAAAAAATGCAGTCTCCCTACTGATGTATTCTTCATTTTTCATTTATCCATCATTTATATTCTATGCCTCTTTTCAAAAAATCATTTGAGCCATATTTTATTAGCATAAATTTGCAGGAAGCTTTAATAGCACTTTGAATTTAAGCCTCCATATAGCTGATTTCCCTGTTTCTGAGGCTGGTTCTTATTTTTTGCAAATCTATGCCAGAGGTTGACTGAAGGACATTTCAGGGAAACAGAGGGCTTCCTAGGGGGTGGCAGTTCTGTTTGGGGGTTCTTTTTTCGGTTGCATTTTGTTCTTTTTGTTTTCTCTTTGAAACCTCCACTCTCTGGCGGGACAAGATGCCTATTGTTTCTTTACCTCTGTGTCCTCTTGTAACAGAATGAATATTACTGTAGGTTAGACTTCTTATGGAAGAACAAGTTCAAAAAAGAGCGGGAGGAGATAGAGACCATGGAGAACCTGAACCGCGTGCTGCTGGAGAACGTGCTTCCTGCACATGTGGCTGAGCACTTCCTGGCCAGGAGCCTGAAGAATGAGGTCAGACCACGCGGGGCTGGGGGCTGGGAGATAGGGGCTGGATGCGGTGATGACCTGGGTGAGGGCTGAACGCTTCTTCGGTGGCATAAAGGCTGCAGTACTTCACTCACCTGAGTGTTCAAAATGGCCAAAATTGGCTTGAATTTTTCAGTTTTCAAGAAGATACTGATTGGTGGGAGAGACATCAGTTGAGAATAGTGGGTTAGAAGGACCTCTAAAAGTCTGAGCTTGGAGTTGGATTCATTAGAGAAGATTTCTTCCCCAGTCATGTAAAGTTCTGAATGTCCATTATGAGGCACTAGGGTCCCAAATATGTCCCCAAAGCAGCCCCTGCCCTCTCCGCACTGTGGGAGGAGGCCTGCCTGGCCAGCATGCGATGGAGGCTCAAACCAAGAGGCAGCATTAAACCATGCATCCCACATGCCCACTGTTTCCCTGCACTCAGCTTCCCAGACAGCCTTCCAAGGCTCTTAGAATTTCAGAGACATCAGATACATCATGAGTGTGACAGGATTTAGGAGTTATGCACAAGAGCAGACCAAAGACTTGAGTCCATCCATTAGAATGGATGGAAATGGGAATGTCATGGAGTGTTTATCCAAATGGGTTAGCTAGACTTGAAAAGACTGCAATTCAGTTAAATATTGAAATGGCTTTCGAAGCGAGATGTCGTGAGGTGTCTTCAGTATTGCTGAAGTGCAAGAGGAAGCAGACGTGTCTACATTTGGACTCAACGTGAGAAACATGTACCTGGGCATCCACCGTGCGCAGAGCCCTGTGCTTAGTGCTGTGACATTTCCCAGATGTCTGAGATGTGTAAACCACAAAGCGTCTGAGACAGGTCTCAATCAAGTTAGAGGTTTATTTTCCAAGGGTGAGGATGTGCCCAGGAAAAAGAAACATGAGTTACAGGAGGATCCGTGGCCTGTGCTTTTTCCAAAGAGAGTTTTAAGGACTTCAATACTGAAAGGAGAAAGAATATACAGTAGGGGAAGGAGGAAAAGGAATAAAAAGAGAAATGGACCAGGCAGGAGGTGGTTACATTCTTGTGAGGCTTTTTGATTCATGCTCGTTGAAACCATATTTTACATGTGAAAAGAGCGGAGTCAGGAAACTCCATGATGTCTTCCTCTGGGAGGGCCCAGGGATGATTTCCCGTCTTGTCTTTGTCTGTTACCTGTGAAAATCAGCCACTAATTTGCATTGCCAGGAGGAGAGTCAACAGAACTTTGTTTTTGGGTTAGTTTGGGGGAGTGTCTATTCTGAAAGATTTCAGGGCCCAGGAGGAGTTTTTTCCTGAGCCTTTGTGAGGGAGGCCGCCTAGGGTGCTGTGTGATCCTTCTATGTTGCAGCCATCTATGTGGGAACAGGCTGTTTCTTGCATAACTCAGTTCCCAGGCTTATCTTTTAGTGAGTTTGGGGTCCCGAGATTTTTTTTTTTTCAGAGGTATAATCCCTGTTTTTTGTTGTTTTTTTTTAAGTAGTATAATGGATCAATAATATATTTCTTACAGCACTTAAAATAGGCTTTAATACGTTTTGGGAATTTTTTTTATCGTGCTTTAAGTTCTGGGGTACATGTGCAGAACATGCAGGTTTGTTATATATGTCAGAAATCCCAGTTCTTAGGACATTTTCACTGAGGCGTGGGAGTGCAGGCAGGAAGGAGTCAGGGGTCACCTATAGGTGGATGAACTCCTTAATGGATAAGCTCAACCCTGATGGTACCAGAATACAAAGCAACCTCCAGTGAGAAGCATTGGAACGGTATTTTTCTGTAGCGGATTTGAAGTTTGGATTAAGAATAAGGCGCCAGGTGGCAGATGAGGTGCTAGACCTCACTGCTCTCATCTTCCTGGAAATGTTCAGGGCACAGTGAGCCTTCCAGGGCTACACAGCAAGTCTGATGACCCGCTGGCTTTCCTGTTTCTTCTCCTGGTGTTTTCTACATGTAGTGGGTTCTTCAGCACCCGATTTTCCTGTTGATCGCAGGTAATAAAATCACTATGTCTATTAAGGAGCCCTCTGTTCTCATTAACAGGAGTCTCGAGCCCATTTTTAAATTCAGTAAGGTCCCATGTTTCCCCTGCCCTGTAGCCAGGCTGGTGGTGGCCCAGGATACAGAGATGAATGGGTCTAGAGGTGGCCTCACCCTCCCTGGCTGCCTCCTGGGGACAGGATCCTGTTATCTCCAAGAACACTGGGGTGTAAATAAGGTACTCCCGAAAGACTCCCACCGTGAGGAAGCAGCTTCTGAATCTAGAAAGAAAGTGCTAGAAACTAGCTAGGAGAAGAGGATGAGTGGGAGAGAGGAATAGGGAGAGAACATTCCAGGCTTGAAGGGGCTACTTTTCCACAGGCACCAGGGAAGTGCCTAATTCAAGACCTGAGAAGAGCCCACTGGGGCAGGCAGAAAGAGAGCAAAGGGAGATGACTATGGGAGCTGAGGCCGGGCTCAGTGGCTCATGTCTGTAATCCCAGATTTTGGGAGGCCCAGGCGGGTAGATCACCTGAGGTCAGGAGTTCAAGACCAGCTGGCCAACATAGTGAAACCCTGTCTCGACTAAATTACAAAAAAAAAAAAAAACAAAAAAAACCTAGCTGGGCATGGTAGCAGGTGCCTTTAATCCCAGCTACTCGGGAGGCTGAGGCAAGAGAATTGCTTGAACCAGGAGGCAGAGATGGCAGTGAGCCTAGCTCGCACCATTGCACTCCAGCCGACAAGCGCAAAACTCCATCTCAAAAAAAAAAAATTTAAAGAATCTGGGAACTGATAGGAGGGTTTCTTCCTCAACATGGGCTCAGAGGAAAGCTCTGGAGCTTGAGAAGCTCTGTGCAGGTCTGTGGGGAGCACAGAAGGCACCCCGGCCCCAGGGCTCAGCCTCACAGCCTTGCAGAGCCCTCCCTCACAACCCTGACAGCCTCCCTGGCCAGACCTCCAGGAATAGCGGTTCTCTCTGCTCTTTCCTGTTTGCTTGGCTTATTCGAAGCAAGCATCAGAATATAGTTCTCCTCCTCGGAAATAATAAGAAGGCAAGATGGGGAAGGAGAATAAAACCTAGAGCCACACAGTGCAGCCTCAAATGTTAGTCCCAACTTTGTCTGTTCCTGTGAACATGAGATGGTACTTCCCTGTCTGAACTTCGCCGTCCTCATCCATAAAAGAAGCATGATGTCTTGCCTTGCAGTTGCCGGAGGCAAGGTGAGGGACATCACATGGTGTCTTCCCACTGCAGTCCTCCAGGTGAGGTGGGCATTCCACAGAGGCATGCACAGCTCCACGTCCATGCAGGGGGGACACACTTGGGAGGGAAGACAGCAGCAAAATATGGGTGTTGGCAGCTCACGATGACCCCTCCACTTCCTGCATGCCCCTGCTGTGTACCAGGGACCTTCATGCCACTTCACAGCCCTCTGGTGCTCCTGAAGATGACATGACATTTTCCTCCAAGTCTCCTAAGGACTGCTGCTGTTGGGTTAAAGACACACAGTGTCTCCTGTACCCTTCACCACACCATGGACTCCATGGTGTAACGCTGCATAGCGGAGCAGGCAGCATGGCCTAGCAGAAGCCCGGAGTGGGCAGTTAGGACCGGGGGTGAGCCCTGGCTTTGGCACTGCCTTACTGCATGGGCAGCGTGGAGACTTTCCAAGAACAAAGCAGGAATGGGCACATTTAGATGAGGCCAGCTCTGTGCCTTGTCTCTGTATTTGTCAAATAAAGAAGTGGAAGTTCTTGGGGTGTCATCACAGCCACTGTAGCCCTGTGTGTCCACAGGGACCCATCTTCAAGCATTGAAATAAATCCACTAGCAGATGACCAGTGCCTGGCTGCCAAGCTCCCCGTGGCGGCTCCTGAAGATGGTTCCTTCATTCATTCGGGAAACACAGGTTCCTCAAATCTACACCTGACTGAGGCCAGCCTCCCTCCCTGTAGGAAGATGAAAGAGCTTGGTTTCAGAGCTCTTCAGACTCGGACCAGCACAGATGGCTCCACGCTCCATAGCAGGCATGCCAAAGGTGCTTGGATTCGCCCAGGGGCGGTGATTCCTACATGTTAGACCTGTGCTCTCACTGCTGACCTGACATTGGAGCGGAGAAGAGTGGACACTGAACCTTAAATCAAGGCATCATCATTCCCATGATGATGCTGGGAAATGAAGCAGGCAGGCTGCAGGGTTCTCTGTATTTAATCATGCAACACAGAACTTCCTTTGGCTGTAACATTTCCAATTTTACTGCCAATTTCTGTCTTATAGGGTAAGTAATGGGGGTGATGGCTACTCTAACAGCCATTGTGAGACTTGGGAACTAAATGACGACAAGGAGCCCCAAGGCCCACCACCATCAGAGTGGCCCCCTGCCGTCTCTTCGAGGACCCTGTACTCCCCCAAGGGAGGTTTGCTAGCCTGTTGCTGGAGCAGTGAGTGTGGGGAGATTCTGGAGGCTTCAGTCCCCATGGGAACAGCACTGTGTGCAAAACAGAACCCACACAAAGGGCCTGAGCAAGAAAGAGAGGCACCAACACGCTGCCAAGAGGTTCTCAGAGTTCCCACAGAGAGTCTCAGAAAGGGAGAGCTTTGTTTCTGTTTTGCTTGTTTCTGAAAACACATAATGAGGGTATTATAAAGAGAGCCACCTGCGTGCATAAAACATAGCAAAGTCCCGCCCCTCCCTTCTGTGGAATGTCCCTTATGGCCATCAGACCTCCTGCCCTAATGTAGCCTCCTCACCAGACAGAAGAATCTTTTTTTTTTAGGTCCAAAACAAACTTTGTTTACTTAGAGATAATAAAGAGCTCAGTAACTCAAATACTGAATACTTAAGCTGTAGGTTAACTAGAAGTCTGTGATTCACCAGTCCTGTTTTTTGCAAGTAGAATACAACTACATTTGGTATTTTCTCTCAGTTCTCTGGTATTCTTGAAGCTTGAAAATATGCAAAACACTTTAATGGTAACTTGTTGAACAGCAATAGAAATCAGATGGTATACTTAGAAG